GATGATGGATGGATGGATGGATGGATGGATGGATGGATGGATGGATGGACAAATGACTGGATAGATGATGGATGGCTGGACACATGACTGGATGGATGGATGGATGGATGGATGGATGGATGGGTGGATGGATGGGTGGGTGGATGCTACCAGGGCTGTGGGTGGGTGGTGAATGGGTGGCATACTGCCAAGGAGCTGGACAGGAGAGATGGAGGCAGAAGGATGGAGGAGCACACTGTGCCCCAGGTAACTTCAAGCTGCACTGGGAGGGCAGCCCTGGCAGTCATGAGAGTGGAGAGCTGCCCACCCAAGATGGGCACGGGCCTCCCAGTGCCCACACCCTCCCACAGGAGCCAGCAGCGGGCCTGTTGCCTGGGAGAGAGCACCAGGCTGGCAAAGGGAGCCCGCCCCTCCTGCCCACCTCATGCGAGTAGACCACAGCGATGAGCCCGGTCAGCAGGCAGCAGAAGAGTGTCACCAGCACGGATTCTGTCATGTAGTCCTTGGGCGGTGCCCTGTGCTCCACCGGGGCCACCACGGGGCTGCAGTACTGTGTGACAGGAGGGGACCTCAGCCCTGCCCCTCGTGGGACATCCTCCTCCACCGCCAGTCTTTCCTCTCTTTCCTTTTCTGTTTCTATTTTTTCTTCCCTCTTTCCTTCCTCCCTCCCCCCTTCCTGGCTAAATCACTATACTGCCCAAGATGGGCAACTTGGGATCCTCCAGTCTCAGCCTCTCAGAGTTCTGAGACCCCAGGACACCCTATCAGTCGTCACCTCCCAGGAAATGTCCCTGAGCACTCCTGTGGATGCTGTCTTCTTCCTCCCCACGTAGCCAAGCGCTCTCCACCACAGGCTGGGCTGCCCTGTACGCCTATGCTGTGCCCTCTGCTGGGAGCGCCCCTCCTCCTGCCTGAGCTCCTACTCATCCCTCAGAACCCAGCCTCCCTGCCCCAGCTTTGCAGACGCTCACCGCGGGGAAGGCGAAGGCTCCGGGCGCTGCGGGTGGGAAAAGCGGGCCGGGCGGGAAGAGCGCGGTAGGCGCGGGAGGCAGCAGCACGGGCGGCGGGAAGGGCGCGAAGAGCGCAGGCGCTGCCTTGGGGTCGGGGGGCGCATACGGAGGGGGCTCAGCTGTGAAGCCAATGTGCGGGACACCGCCTCCGGCCTTGGGTCCCAGCGATAAGGACTGGGCCGCGGGTTCCCCTGGGCCCAGCTCGCCGCCCCTTGCCACCGTCGCCACCGCGTCCTCCTCGGGAGCGCGGTCCTCCTCCAGGAGCCGCGGCCTGCGCGGGAGCTGCGGGAGTGCGGGGTGCGCGGGGTCCCCGGGCTGCGCGGGGGGCTCAGGACGCGCGGGGCTCTGGGAGTCCTGGGGGTGCTTGGGGCTCTGCGGGGCCTCGGGCAGTGTGGGGCTACTGCCCCCCTCGGGGTCCGGACCTGGGAAGACAGGACAGGCCTGAGAGCCCAGACGCGCCCCTCCTGCTAGGCGCGCCCACTCCCCATCCCTCAGTTCTGCCGCCCTGCCCGGCTTTGCGGGCGCTCACCACGGGCGAGGCCAAGGCCCGAGGCCGAGGCTGGGCCCACCGTGCGCCCTGCGCCAGCCTCGCCCACCCAAGCCTGCGGCCACACAGCTCACACATCCCTGAAAACGAGCAGGAGAGTAGGAGGGTCGACATGCTGTCCCCACACAAGGGACATAGCCCTGTGCCCCTGCACTGATGCTGATGCTTGTGGGCAGACCCCCCTCTGGGATGCGGGCGCCCCTGTGTGACTTGCTGACTGACAGAACATGCTCAGAGGCCTTGAGCTGCCCGCCGTCCTCCCGCGCCAGCCTCCCGAGGGCTTGGATGACAGCCATGCAGCTTGCTGCCCTCCCTGAGATTAGACTTTACAAGTAGCAGCGCTAAAATGGGGCGGGCTGGGAAAAAACGAAATAAATAAATAAAATTAAAAATAACAACAGCAGCTCCGGGAAGAAACAGAGGCCAGTCCTGAGCACCCAGAAGAGCAGCCTCTGGCGAGGCCCTCCGCACCCAACCCAGGAGCCAGATTTGCCAGTGCTGGTGTAGGAGCTGGGAGCAGAGCCCTTGGCCCCTGGCACACGCTTTGCACCACACCCAGCTCCCTGGCTGCAGAAACCCTGAGGAGAAACCACTGTCGATTACATTTGAGGGGTGGAGATTCGTCACAGGTAAGTGATACAATTGCAGCACAGCCAGAGGGAGAGAGCTCAGCCAGAGGGAGGGACCCATGCACACCTGTGACCCTGGCATTCTGGGAGGCAGAGGCAGGGACCACCCACTCCAGCCCAAAGGAGACAACATGGGGAGATACCCCTCAAAAGAAAAAACTAGGGCCGGGGAGATGGCTCAGTGGAATAAGTGCTTCTCTGGCAAAC